TCCGTGATTCTCGAGTCAATAGTTTAACTGCCAAAATTTTCACGAGGCCGTAAGTGATACTCAAGAGCGCGGGGACGCTGAATTTGAATAGGCAAGGTCGGGCGTAGGCAGGGGTCATTACCCTAAAATTTCAGTCTTCTGGACTCCGCGGTTCCTGAGACATTAATTTACCCGTAAAAAACTTTCACAGGGCCGTACGTGTTACCTACGAGTGCAGGAAGGCTGAATTTAAATTTGCCGCGTCACCCGCTGGCGGTAAACATTATACCAAAATTTCAGCCGCCTAGCTTTTGTGGTTCCCGAGTTGAAAGCGCGGGATAAAATGTGGGACACACATACACACAGACAACCCCGTGACAATATGAGTTTTGTAATGCTGTTGCACAGCACAAAACGCATAAATATTGAGAATAATAATCATTCGTAATAATAGCATTATAACTAACGTTAATAATTATGCTGGCAATAACAGTAATCATATGATGATAACAGTTGTTTATTCTAAAAAAAGTGTACAATAATAACAGTGATGACGGCGAAAAGTGTGTTTTTAAGTGGAAGCATAAAGCTAAAAAACTACGTTCGTCAGTGTCTTCTCCTTTAGCATCCTCTTCGTTGCAGCAATAGCGGTGAGAGAAAAAGTTGGTTCGCAGCCGTCAGCTCTTCGATGGAACGCTAGTACGGGCTCCCGGATTGAGGATCTTGATTTCTACATCGGGGACGAGGCGCTGTCACCTTCGGCTGCTAATTATGCTGTTAAGGTTCATTCATTTCATCGTCCATCTCTTTCTCCCTGTTTGTCTTTTTCGTTCATTAAGACTGCTTTTTTTTCTTGTGTAATTGACTAAAAAATCAAATTGGTTTTTTTTTCTGTCAAAAAATTTGCATATTTTTGCGAAGAAAAATAGATGTTTTTTTTTTTCTTGCAGTACCCAATCCGTCATGGTATTGTCGAGGACTGGGATTTAATGGAGCGGTTTTGGGAGCAATGTGTGTTCAAATATCTAAGAGCCGAACCGGAAGATCATTATTTCTTACTGGTTTGTTATTTCTGTTGTAACTGCAAGAAACCATTTGCGGGAATTCATTTTTTTGCGATTTTTACGTACTTTGCTAATGAAATTTGTTTCACATTCTTGACTTTTAAATTTATAAGGTACAATGCTTGCTGTGAGGTTTTTTTTCCAACCCCAATCTATACTATTTCTTTTCGGCAAAACTCGTAGCATATCAGTTGAATATAAAAACTCCTGGGATTATCTGTAATGGTCGTGCAGTTTTATTACCGTTGATAGCTTTGACAACAGGCGCTTCAGTGTGGTCTCACTGCAACAAGATGCTTTTTTTTTTTTTATTCAAATAAGAACGAAGTGTACGCCGAACCAAAGAGAATGAATCTATGAATTT